AAGGAAGGAAAAGGAAGGAAAAGGAAGGAAAGGGGGGGATGGGAAGAGGGGGGAAAGGGAAAGGAATGGATGGGAAGGGAAGGGAAGAAACTTTAATATTTTAAAGGGGCTGCACGCGGACGTAATTTCAAGCTTCAAAGTGGATTCACAATATGAGACCCTTTAAACTTTATATGATAAAAAGTGTATACAGATTACAGCTTTTACAATTTTCAGTTAATATAAAACGACGAGCTCTATTTGTGAACCATACCCCTCAATTTACTCTGTTGTAAGGTCGTCTCTGACAAATTGTACCTCCGTTGAACTTTCCAAACCAAACATTTCCAAGGTCTCCGCGTAAATGTAAACAAAAGCCTCATGGAGCTAATAAAACTTAAAGTGCATTAAAAGAACGAATTTAAACATAATTTCAGTGAATCATTTACGAATAAACAGTGAAATTCCTTTAACCAAATGAATATTTATTTCAGAAGATTAAATTGCTTTAGACTTCAATTAAAAACAACTATTCCCGTGCTATACTATTTTAGATCGTAAGTTCCTTATATTTAATTCACAACAATATCTTTTAAACCTTTTTTGCCGATTCACAACAGTACCTTTAAAACCTTTGTTTGCCGATTCACAACAGGACCTTTAAGCCGTTGTACAATTCTCAATGATGCATATTTCTTTAACCAATTGTTCGTTTACAACAATATTCATGTATTTAGTTACACCCAACTGGTTTCATATTTACTAACAATCATTATTTATATACATGTATGTCAATAACAATTTGTATTTTTGTAGGAAACCTCGTTACTGAAATACATTTTTCAAGAAGAAGTTCTCATCTATGTATGCATGAAGAATAGAGTGTTTATCTAGCCTATTTGCCTTTGGATTTGCCACCCTTCAAGTTGCATTTCCTCCGCCCTATTTCCGCCCTTTTGAGCAATATTCCTTTTGGTCGGTTCCTACTATTATATTTATAATGTTCCTAACTTGATCTGATAAGTAATGCAAACTAGATAAAGGGCTCGGCGTTGCACGTGGAAAAAAAATTTTAGAAAAATTTTAAATTTGAAAAAAATAATTGAAAAATCAAAATTTTTAATTTTTCAGCATATGTCACTCCCAGGGTACCCCTGACTCCTGAGTATCCACAAAAAAATCAGTCCATTTGGTCCAGCCGTTTGGCCGGATAGAGGGAACATATTTAAAAATGTCTTGTTTTATTATACAGAAGATTGTACAATTGAGAATCGAGCACGCCACTCTTTAACTGAAGGGGGGCACTTAAAAGTCAGTTAACAGTTCCTGTAACCCTTGCCTTTGTTAAGCTATATTTAAATATTTGAGATATTAAAAAAAGATAAATGTATAAACCAAAGTTTTATACTTGTCAGAAATAAAAAGTTTGATCTCTTTATTTTTCCACCGTTATACTTTTGAAACTTTTCTGCAACCTTCCTAACGTATCCTAAGGTTTTTTAATGATCCTTGTCCAACTGTCAGAACCTTTTGATTTTTTTATAATAAGTTTCTATATTCCCTTCTTCTACTATATGAGTAAATATTAGTCTAGAAAACTTCATTAACTTCTTTATCAAGTTTTTGTCCTGTTCCAGTTCTAGATTTAAACCACACACACAGCATAGAAGAAAGACACCTTAAACCTAAAAACTCCAATTATAACAAATTCAGAAAACTCTAAAAAGCAATTAAGCAAAGAAACTGATAAATTGTCTCAAATATTAGTACAAACATCTGAGCAAGAAAATATCAAGATTAGAAAAGTACATTTCAAGGGAGTAAGTAGTTCTTTTGTAATTGGATGAAAGCATTTTTAATAAAAAGTCGTCTTCATAGCTTTGAATTAATCGCCGACTACAATATAACTTAAATAATACACTGTTACGACTGAAATTAAAAAAATATCAAATCCTTTTTTTTCACAGCTCGCAGACAAACTTTACGATATTATCAGTATCTGCAGAAAACTAGATTTCCAGAAAATCTTATAGTGTGGAAGATTTGTTAGCAATCCCGGGTGACTTTATATCTTTTTTTAAACCGAGCCTAACCCGGAATAGTATACATAATCACGCGAGATTGCCAAGAAAAATAGGGGGGTCCTAAACAGCCGTAGTAATTAGGGTTTCTAGCGAACAAACACAAAAATTTCTTTCGTATTTTGCAAATATTTTCGCGAAAATGAATGTTGCGAAAGGGAGCGAAAACGATGCAGAATTTTGTGAAAAAATATGCAAAATTTTCGCAAAACAAAAAATGCGAAATTTTGCGAGAAATTCTTATGACGTTTTCGTTTGTTTTTCGCTTTTTTATAGGAACGGAATGCAAAAAATGTGAAATTTGTTCTTTCTCGTAACAATTTTCCCATTTCACTGGAAACCCTATAGTAGTAATATACTACTGATTTACCCGTTGTATCACGGATACCAGGGAAAAAGAAGAGTATTACATTTTTAACCTAACACTTGGCCCATTTATTACACTGAGGTTTAGAGATGGGTACAAATTGAAAGACTAGGTTTTTAGGATCCCGGCCCATATCAACTCTAGAGTAAAAGTCGATATTAGAAACTATAACCAAAATTTTATGACGAGAACAATATTTCCTAATTTTAAACTATTTTCTGAAATAAAATGATAAAAGTAGTTCTTTTATAATAAAACCGTTGAACGTTTTCAAGACAATGTTAGGTTTTCCATTTTCGAACAGATCCTGAATTTGAATCATTGTCGCGTTTTTGAGACAAACCCCACTTTCAAATCTTGAAACGAAAGTAAATATTAAATTATGAAGGTTGAAGACTAAATTAGTTGCTAAATTATTACTAAAATCTGAGTTTCCCCATTTTATTTCTTAAATACACTGCAAACCCAAATGTGCACGCTCCGAACAAAAAAATCAGGCAGTATTTTGACAAGTAATCCTTTTAAGCTTCTGATAGAAATAATCGTATTGCATTATTAAAATGTTTATGCTAGGGCTACAAAAAAGTATAAGTGAGTTGGTAGAGTAAAACCAAATGCCAAGGCAATGCGACACTTTAAAGTCGAGGCTGTCTAAAAATTGAATAACTAAGTTTGATATTTCAGTGATTAAGAGAATTGATTTAATTTACCGCATTTTAAATAAACAATTTCCCGCATTTAAAGTTAAATCTATATTGTAAAAACATCATAATGTAAATATTCTGATTTATCAATGCTATAATGATTTAAAAATTTTAAAGAACATTTTGTTTTATTTTATATTTAGTTCTGGAACTAATTTCCACTGAAGTTTATCAGTTTAATTTTGATATTTTAGAGGCATGAGTACATACACTTGTTAATATTTACTCGTCTGAATCCAAAGTGCAGAATACAGATGCATGCAAAAGGATCAAAGTTCAAAACACTTTTAATCTGATAATAATTCAAATTTTGAAGGATTTACACCTTTATAAGAGAAACATTAAATTTTATTTTTTAAACATGAATCCAAGTTTTTATCGTAAAATTACAAAGACTATATTAACTATTTATAACACTGTTATTTTGGTTCGCAGTGATATAAAGTTTTTGGACAGAAATTTTCTCTTTATCGAGAAGGTGCCTTTTTAGACTTACTTTTGTCCCAAGCTTTAGATAAAGAGAAGATTTCTGTCCAAAAACTTTATAACACTGCGAACCAAAATAAGGGAAACTTTACAGCACGTCGTGCCAAAATAATAGTTTTAAGTAATTTTATGAAACGTTTGTATACTTGTCTTATTTCACTGGCTGTTTCTAGATCAAATACGCTTTAAAACAAAGCAGAAGTTAAAATATAAAGTTGATTTTAATTTTATTTTTATTTCAATTGAAAAAAAATTTTTGGAAGTATCTGAATTTTTTTTGAGAAAATCCTGGAACCAATCAAAACTTTATAGCACACGTGCTATAATTTACGTACAGCTGTCAGCTAATTTAACATTATAGCTGCACGATGATTACTTTACAGCACGTTTATTATGAAATTCACGATGAAGTGAGTAGTAAGGATAATGTGCACTATTGTTTCATAAAAAATTTGAATGTTAAATCTTCGATTTTTGATTGGATACGGAATTTACGAGGGGAGGAAGGCCAGTCACAACAATTTCTCGTCTGAGCCACATTCTCCTCATTTTCTCGTCCGAGCCAGCTCGGAATTCTCATCTTTTCAATACTTTTTAAAGTTTCCAATACTAGAAGATAAATCTAGCTTCTGAAAGACCGTCTAAAGTATCAACGTCCATGAAAGACCTTCTAAAATACAAACTTCTAAAATATAAACTTAGAAGTAAGACCTTCTAAAATATGAACTTCTGAAAGACCTTCAAAAATTCAAACTTCTGAAAGACCTTTTAAGATATAAACTTCTGAAAGACCTTCAAAAATTCAAACTTCTGAAAGACCTTTTAAGATATAAACTTCTGAAAGACCTTCAAAAATTCAAACTACTAAAAGACCCTCTAAAATACAAACAATTTCAAGGGGTCCTAAGTTATGATCGGATTATCAGACACACAAACAGACAGACATAAGTAACATATTTAATCGGATAGAGGTCTTTATGATGTATATGATGTGCATAATGTATAATGTATTCGCTTGAACAAGATAATGTATGTATTTAAACTCAAACAAAACTTTATCTTGCCTCAACGATTATTTTTAAGCAAATATTCTCAAATCCTTCATTTTTATATTGCAAACATTATCTCTCAGATTAACAATGTCATTATAAAATTCAGATAATCTTAAAATACATTATTATTTCCGCAAGCAGAACATATACATATAAAGAAATAGAATTACAGAGTCGAAATTAACTAATCTGAAAAAAAGCGGGAGCTGCTACTCATGCAATTTGTAACAAATATAGTGTAAAGTGGTTTTTAAAGCACCCCTTCCCTTTTTCTCTCTACTATCTATCCTATTATACCTATTCTTTCTACTATCCATCCTATTATACCTATTCTCTCTACTATCCGTCCTATTATACCTTTTCTCTCTAGTATCCATCCTATTATATACGTATTATCTCTACTATTCATCATATTATACCTTTTCTCTCTACTATCCATCCTATTATATACGTATTCTCTCTACTATTGATCCTATTATACCTTTTCTCTTTACTAGCAATCCTATTATATACGTTTTCTCTCTACTTTTCCTCCTATTATACTTATTCTCTCTACTATCCATCCTATTATACCTTTTCTCTCTACTATCCATCCTATTTATACCTTTTCTCTCTACTATCTATCTTATTATACCTATTCTCTTTACTATCCATTCTATTATACCTTTTCTCTCTACTATCCATCCTATTATATATTTTCTCTATACATTCCATCCTATTCTACCTTTCTTCTAATTTACTTTGTGCTTTATAGTATGCATTAAAATTATTTTTTTTTCAATTTTCAATAATAAAATATATAAACTTAGAACCAGCCAAATAGTACAACCAGAAATGATTAGGTTTAGCCCAGAGATGGAATTTAAAGAATTTGAGCCGCGGTTTAAATCCGCCAAACCCCGGTTTAAATTCAGCGCCGGCTTAAATCTTGAAACATTGATACAATTTTAAGTGGAACCAACCATATTTAAGCCGCGGCTTAAATTTAAACCGCCGCTCAAATTCTTAGATTTAAACCGCGGCTCAAATTCTTTAAATTCCATCTCTGGTCAATAATTGAACTAACACATTTTCACAGATCTTTTAAATTCGGGTAATGTGTAGGGTAAAGCTTTCTTTTTAAAACCCCGCTATATTAAAGGGTTTTTCAGTATTTCGTATCTTTCGGGGACAGTAAATAATTTTTAAGAGAAAAAATTTAATTTTGAGAAAAATAAAAAATGTCAATTTCATTTAATTCCTAATGATTTTAAAACTCAGAGAGGAAATCTTGAAAAATATACCCCTAGAGTAAATTTACTTGAAGGTTAGTTCAATATATTTAAAAACTGGTCGGCGTTTATATCAATACAAAGAAGACGACTTTGAATTAATAATGCTTTGATCCCTTGATCCCTAACAATCATTTTTCAAATTATTACAAGTTTACAAGTAAACAAAGAGAATATGTTAATTTACAACTTCTTATAGTTCAAATGCTGATGAGTTTCTTCAGTTTTAAAAACTTCGTAGAAAACAAAATTATATTAGAAAGTAGTCGTCATTGTATTGATATATATGGCACCGACTGTATATAATGTTTACTTTTTACCCTTTAATTAAAACACTAAAAACAATACCAGGTAAATTTAGCTTTCTTAGTTAACTATTCGGTGACAAAAGTTAAAACTTTAAAACTATCCATGATTTAAAAATAAAAACGTCGTTAACGTTCTGTAATCTCATATTTGGAGCAGTACAAATGTGTACTTTATATAAGCAACTTTACACTAAACTCTGCGCTTAAAATGAAGTCATTTTTGTAATTCTAAAAATTGTGCACAAATATTTGTTTGACAAATAAATTTGTTTAGTCGTTTTAACATATTTGAGGATCAAAGCAAAATCTAATATTATGCTTGATGATTGTTCACTGTTTATTAATCACAAGCTTTAGAAGAAAGAGAAAAAAATTTAAATAAAAAATAAAAAAATAAGTAATTTCAATATGTTGTACACTATAATCATTTCATAAAATAACTAAAAGCAAGCTAAGTGGTTGAAATCAGAAAATCCTTTATTTTCAACCTACAAAGCTTTCTTATGCACAACATTGAACACTACTGGATATAAAATTAATTATCCTATTCATTAAAAAAAGATACAATGTTTGCTAAATGTGTACTGTATTCCATGGGAAAAATGTTATCAAACTCGCAACTAGGGTTTTCGCGAAAATGAATTTTGCGAAAGGAAGCAAAAATAATGCAGAATTCGTAAAAAAAACAATATATTCTAACAATTTCGAGAAAATTTTTCAAAATGTTAGCCTTTTTCGCGAAATTTCCAATTAATCTGTTTCGCGAAACGATTTCCTTTTTTCGCTGGAAACCAGACACAACTTGTGTAAAGGGACCAGAACATTAACAGACTTGGATTTTACGCTATTTTTAAACTATTATGCCTTTAACTAAAATGCTACGAGCTTCTCCTTAAAAAATATAATTCTAAAGAAAAGTTTGTTCTTGCAAGTTAACTTTCTATCTTGAGTGCAAGCTATTTTCATGTTTTGATTTCCCCCCACTGCAACCTTTTTAAACCTTTAAATAAAACCGATTTCACGAGATATTTTTGTTCAATCTGAGTACTGATATGAGACGGTACCGGGTAATTTATACTTTACTTTCATGATAGAATACCATCGCAAAAAGGGCCAGAAAAGAGGCAGTTAGAAGTTTGAACTCCAATGCTTAGTATCCGGAGCAATTATCCGCAACAGTTTGCATCCTGGATCCTTGCAGCTCCACAGATCCAAGGAGTAGAATATCAACCAAAATCTACTAAAAAAAAAATTTTTCTCTCAAAACGTGAACTACGAGAGATTAATAAAACTTCCCATTCGCTTCCCAAGCTAAAATGGATTTAATTTGTTTCATAAATGAATAAATATTTTAAAGAAATATTCATGACCTGGATCCTGGATTACGGCATTTAGAATGGAGAGTTACGATAGATTACGGTAATAAATTATCAATGACAATTTCTTTAAGGTATTTGATAACAGTTCTATTATAATTGCTATTTCTAAAGATGAACTAGGATAGGATAGGAAGTATCATATTCCTATTACTAGAGATGATGAACTATAGGATAGGATAGGAAGGATCCTATCCCTATTCCTAACACTAGAACTGACACCAGCATAGACGCAACACATTCCTAACAAAAGATTTGTTGAAACTTGATATATATTTCAGGAATTCAAAAAACATTAAGAATAAAGGTGCTCTGACTGTTGATATCAACACTTTTTGCATCTCCCATTTGTTCTGGGGCACAAAAGTATTTCTACATTCATAACATTTTCGCCTAGAAATAAAACCCCAAACCTCTCAACATTTAGAGAGTGAAATTTTTTAAGGGAAAGTAGGGATTGTTATCTTTAAATTTTCAAAATTCTTTCCTGGTCGTTTTCTCTCTCAACTGTTTTGGGTCCCATCATCATACACAGATTTCCTGTAAATAACAAGCTATAGATTTTAGCAAGATTAAATATTTAAAATCTAAGATTAAGCATTTAAGGATTAATCCTATGAATGAAGAAAAAACTTGCCAATTATCCTTTTTAATGCAAATTATAAATAAGGAGAGTAAACAAATTACCTATATATCCGTTAGAAAGACTAAAAATGATCATCAGAGCCTAAAAACATTTTCAAGTGAAATTTATAAATAGATCAAAACCATTGGACTTAAATATTAAAAGCCGACCTATTAACAGTCTAAAATTATCAAATTATTGAATAAAAAAAATTCATTATCAAAGGAGCTGTATATGATCATACAAATTTTGTAGATTAATAAGTGTTTAATTTAGACAACTTCATCCATTGTGTTTCCAGTATAAATCCGCAAGACCCCAATCAAATCATAAAAAGAAAAAAATGACATCTCATTTATTTAATCTTGATCAGACAAAGCTCTTGTTGGAACCATTGTGAATCGGAATTGCCCCTGTACCAACAAAGTCACTTGACTTGAAAATAAAAAAGTACCAATTTTGTTCTAACAATAAAAACTTGACAGTATTTGTATCATTCTTTAAAATGGTTTACTGATCAGGGTTTGTGGGCTTAACCACTCATAATGGTTTAGGAAGGATTCTAAAATTAAAATTATAAATTGATTAATATCAGCAGTTTTCTTTAATAAAAACTAATTTAAAAAATATCTCAAAATTATATTTTTAACTTAATGTTTTGATATTTAGATATAACAATTTTTTCTGACCTTTTTAAAGTTTTTGATTCGTTTTCGTGCATTTTTTTACATCTAAAATTCTTTATGTCCCAGAGTTTGACCAGATATTTGAGATTTTACAGCCTTTTGAAAGAGATATCCAGACAGTAAATTGTAAGCATGAAAGAAAATATCAATTTTCCTATCTCATAATAACATAATATGGTTAAATACCTCATAAATCGACCTGAATTCGAACTCGGACACAAAGCTGATAATTTTGTATCAAATTTACGAGCTCTTAACTTTCAAGTGATTCAAACTTACATAATAATCAGAATCCTTGTCAAACTTACATAATAATCAGCATCCTTGTCAAACTTACATAATAATCAGCATCCTTGTCGAACTTACATAATAATCAGCATCCTTGTCAAACTTACATAATAATCAGCATCCTTGTCAAACTTACATAATAATCAGCATCCTTGTCAAACTTACATAATAATCNAATATTGAAATATATGAACTGTGGTATAAATCCTAAATATTGAGATATATAAACTGGTAAAAATCCTAAATATTTGGATATATGAACAGTGGTATAAATCCTAAATATTGAGATATATAAAATGGTATAAATCCTAAATATTTGAATAAATGAACAGTGGTATAAATCCTAAATATTGAGATATATAAACAATTGTATAAATCCTAAATATTGGGATACATCAACATTGGTATAAATCCTAAATATTGGGATATATGAAGAGTGGTATAAATCCTAAATATAGTGATATATGAACAGTGGTATGAATCCTTAATATTGAAATAGATGAACAGTGGTATAAATCCTAAATATTTGGATATATGAACCGTGGTATAAATTTAAAAAAAAAATGAGATATATGAACAATGGTATTAACCCTAAATATTGAGATATATGAACAGTTGTATAAATCCTAAATATTGGGATATATGAACATGTGGTATAAATTTAAAAAAAAAATGAGATATATGAACAATGGTATTAACCCTAAATATTGAGATATATGAACAGTTGTATAAATCCTAAATATTGGGATATATGAACAGTGGTATAGATTTCAAAAATTGAGATATATGAACAGAGGTATAAATCCGAAATATTGTGATATGAAGTGGTAAAAATTTTTAAAATTGCGATATATGAACAGTGATATAAATTCTATATATTTGAATATATTAGATGTGGGTTAAATACTAACTATTGGTGTATGTAAACTTTGGTAAAAATCCTAAATATTTGGATATATGAACAATCGTTTTAATCATAAATATTTGAATATCTAAATGAACAGTTGTGATATTCAATATTACTGGCTGTCGAAACCGAAAAACTTACCTATTCTAAGAATTGTTAAACCCAAGACGACATTTTGCCCCATCCTACTTGTTCCAGGTAATCTAAAATATTGATGCTCTAAACTGACCAAGTGGGTGTGTCTGAACTAATTATCTTTTAGTTTTAACTCACCGCGTGTGTTTACGGATTAAAGTCGACTCCCAATTATAACTAGCCCTGTTATTGATTATGATCTGTGAAACCTGATATGAGAGGCAAGTATTCGTCCAAAGTAGTCTCCACAGTTGAAGAGTAGAAAACAGGCAACAGGGGTAAAATATACAGTAGAGAACACGTTGGATTCATCATCACTAAAATTTTCTTAATAATATTTTTTATTTTTTTAAATAATTTTTTCGTATTTTTTATTTTCTGACCCCCCACTATTCCAAAAATAATGTTGGAAAAAATCCAAAAATGTTTCTCACTGATTTGAGACAAAAAAGTACTTTCTCGCAAGAAAAAAAAAACTGGTTGTTTACTACTTATTTAATTAAAAATTAATAAAAATATACCTGAACTGTGAAGTAACTAAAACTGTAACACTGGGGAACACGGTGAGGGTAACACAAAAATTCAAAAAAATACTGAAAAAGAAAAATATGTTATATAAACCGGACTTTTACTTTTAAGCTCATTTCTTTCGTAAATTGGTTGTAGGATCATGGAACTGGGAGAAATCATATTATTTTTCTATTTAAATGTTATGGGTTGATAGGAATAAAATAAAACTAACGCTTATTAAATGATGTTTATGCTGATTTACTGGTGAGATAGGTATGAGAGGGAGGAATTTGTAAAATATTTATCTAGAGAGGCGTTATTGTAAAATATCTCTCTATAGAGGGGTAATTGTAAAATATCTCTCTAGAGAGGGGTAATTGTAAAATATCTCTCTAATGAGGCGTAATTGTAAAATATCTTCCTAGAGAGGGGTAATTGTAAAATATCTTCCTAGAGAGGGTGATTGTAAAATATCTTCCTAGATAGGGGTAATTGTAAAATATCTCTGTAGAGGAGATATTTATAAAATATCTCCCTAGGGAGGGGTAATTGTAAAATATCTCTCTAGAGGAGGGTAATTGTAAAAATTTCCCTGAGAGCGGGGGGGGGGGGTAATTGAAAATATCTTTCTAGCGGCGTAATTGTAAAAAATCTCCCTAGTGAGGGGTAATTGTAAATATCTCTTAATCTCTCAAGGGGGGGATATTCGACCTGAATTGGTATTTCCAGCTTCTAAAGAAAACTTCTCTATAAGATGATGATAAAAGGGAGCTAGTATCACCAACCCTGAAAAGAAAAATATTTTTAATCACAAAAATAAAAATCTTATTTATAAAAATGAAGCATTGGGAAAATGTGACAGAAGTCCGAATTTGTGTGCTTTAAATGTTGGGATCAAGCAGTGATCTCCAAGTAAAACAGATATACGGATTAATTTAATTCCTCTTCGATATCCCGTGTTGGTAATTCCAATTGAGGATCAAGGATTCATCCATAAATCTAATAGTGTCCACATTGAATATCAATATTAAGCGTTAAAGAATAACGATACTCCACACAGTAGTTCCGACGTCAGTCTACACAATACACATTTCAGGATGTTCGTAAAAATAAAACTTAGTTATGAATTATCTACCTAGCTAGTGTCCCTGCATAATGTTTAAAGTATTGTGTAGTTTGAACTGCACAGTAAGCAGCTAATGTCACCAGGACAAATAAAAATGCAACCAGGAAACAGTAGAACCCAATATCTGCTGGTTCAACCTAAACAACAAGGGTATATGTTTTAGTTAAAAGTCAGTAATTCATCTACTAGTTATATTTGTCCAATATATAGTTCCTTAATCTTAGGTCTTTGCAGTCCTAAGAAGTAAGTATTTCCTGGCAGTACTTGACTTTTATTTCGTCTGTCCATAATCCAATACAGTCTTTCTGATCGAAGTCCCTCTGTCATTGTTTGCCAGTAAGGGGCTTATCCCGGTGTTTTCTTCCTATGGTCTGCTAAAGTCCATAGAAGCGCCAAAGAAAAATTTTGGTATTTTTTTCTTCATTGACAAAACTTGATGAGGTTTATAATCCTGAGCATACTGGGAGCCAAGTGAGGGAGGGGGGCGAAATATGCTGAAGGGGGGGGGGGCGAAAATCTGTACGGCCCCCCTCCCCTAGTTGCGCCACTGGGCACAATACTTCAAGAGTGCTTCACACACTTGTCCTCTACAGCATGTTGGGTCTTTGAAAGTTAAACTATGACAGTGTCTACGTTTTAAAGGGGAATCAAAAAATATTTTAATTCCCCGGATACAGGCTTTAAGGTCAATTCAACAACTATGTCAGAGAAAGGGATTAAAAATGATAAAAATAAACCACTACAAACCTGAACTGCAATGACAAGAATATTTACAAGAGCCGGGAATATTCCTCCCAGAGCTTGTCCCGACATCATCCCGCCCATATAGTGGGGAGGGAACTTTCCAGCCACACCTGCCAATTAATAATATAGACTTGTATTTGTACACTGTACAACATATTCATACATATATATATGTCTTGTACAGAGATAAGAGAGTACAGATATCTATTAAAGGTAATAATATACGATATTTTCCAAAGTAGTATGTTCCATTGTGTACAACTGGCGTACACCACCAATACACAAACATCTATATTCACTATTCAGGGATATTTAAGGATATTTTGGATACAGAATACAAAACCTTGAAAAAAACTAAATTCATGAATTTGATATTTTATTATAAGTTAGTGTATTTCTTTAAAAATTGTAAAACGTAACCCCTGAATGGGTCTTACATGCAAAAAGGGGTTGTGTCGCATATCTCTATCCAAATAAAAAATGGAAAAAGATCCAAAAATGATCATTACAAGTTACAACACGTTTGTATCGTTTATTGATCGTTTTTTAGCATATATATTCTGTCCGGGTCAAAATTTAACATTGCATAACAAAAGCAAATGCTTAGAAAATTGAAAAAAAACATTTTTTTCAAATCAAAGATATGCAAAACGACCCAAAAACAAATCAACTGAATTCACATCACTATCTGTGTCACTGTGCTGTGTGTACAGTGTGTACGTAGTACATAAAAATCGATCAAATAAGTATCTTGTATCTTCTTACCTATTATACCCCCTTGGAAGATTGCAGTACATACATTGAGGAAAACAACAATAATGAGAGTAGAGTACAGAAACCAGTCCTAGAATATCAAATATAAAAGGTGTAACTGATGTAACAAGATAATAGTCCCTATCAAGGAATGTACACAAAGAAACCAACATATAAATTTACGGCTATGTATTGTTTTTACATCGGCACCATTGAATCTTCTACTGCAAAACTTATGGAGATATATAGAGTTTTCCTCTCTAAGGGACATGCCGTAGAGTAAAGAAAGAAAATTGACAGAATACACCTTTTTTAGAGATTGGAAAATATCGATATATCTTCTTTATACTAAAGCAAGATTTGTATATATATGTTCTCATAGCCGGCCAAACGTCTGTACCTAATGGGCTGACATTTTTTGAGGGAAGGCTAAAAAAATTGATTTTTTTTTTCAAAATTCGATTCTTAAAAATTTCAATTGTCAAGTGTATACCTGCCAGTCGTCTGAATCTATTCTAGCCATTAGAATAACTCCAATAAATAGTGTAGACATCAAGGATAAAGCTCCAATTATTCTAAATCATTTATATCTGAACTTTTTGTTGAAAGGTTTCAATTTACTTCAAGTTTTATATACTGGGAAGAGAGTATACTTAATGGGTATAAGTGGAAAACATATTAAAGAATTGAAGAGGTGACCTGAGCTGGGAACTTTAGAATGGTGGATATCAGGATTAATGCTTTATCCTCTCTTTTTGCTAATCTCGAGATTATGTTAGTCTCGAGATTAAATATTTAGATCAACAAATTTGATTCTATGAACGCCAGATTTGTTCGTTTTTCTTGACTGGAAGGGCCTTCACTTAATTTATCATCAATTTATTTATTAATACATTAGTTAAAATTGGTTAAAAAAGAATCTCAAACGTATTATTAAATATTTTTCTTCGCCGATTAATTTACAAAATTCTTAATTTGTTAGATTTCTCTCATGGATAAAATTTATTTTCAAGGCTGTCATTGGTCAATACAATTTAAAAATTATATTCCTGCACTCTCATCAAGAAAGGTGTTAAATGTAAACCTGAAAACTATCGTCCGATCTCATTAACTTCCCTTGTCTGTAAAACCATGGAGTCCATCTTACGGGATAAAATTGTCGACCATTTACAGAAAAATAATCTTATTAACCCCAGTCAACATGGTTTTATGAAGCACAAGTCCTGCCTTACTAACTTATTGGAGTTTCTGGAGGTCATAACCAGCCTGCAGGATGAAGGTCATTCTATGGACATTATATATTTAGATTTCTCAAAGGCTTTTGACAAAGTGCCTAAAAACAGATTGCTTGAGAAACTTAAAGCTCATAGTATAAATTGATATTTTGAGATGGATCGAAGCTCGGCTTTCAAACAGGGGGCATAGAGTAGTTTTGAATGGCCAATATTCAGAATATAAAAATCTCCAAATGTAAACGAATTTGTTGTAAACTGTATTATTAAACACATGTAAACTATTTTGTACGGAGATAATAAATATCTAGATCTTAAAAAATATTCAGAATGGAAACCTGTCTAAAATGGTGTTCCCCAGGGATCGGTGCTTGGTCCGATCCTTTTTATCATCTATATTAATGACATTGACTATCTTTGTGCACAAATTTCTGTGTTAAAAAATTTGCTGATGATACAAAACTTGCCCAAAAATTGTTAAACGAAAGTGACAAAAATATATTACAAAACTGTCTTAACAAACTTTGTGATTGGGATGAAACTAGGGGTATGATGTTCAATGTTGATAAATGCAAAGTTAGGCACATTGGAAATAGAAACCCCTGCTATACATACACCATGAACAATCAAACCCTGTCAGAGATCGACGAGGAAAAAGATATCGGAGTTACTATGCATGCAAACTTGAAACCTTCAGTGAACCAATCAGCTCAAAAAGCAAATGGTATATTGTCACTTATTTCTAAAGCATTTCATTATAGAGACAAAGTTACATTCATCAATCTCTATAAGCTTTATGTGAGACCTCACCTAGAGTTCTCCGTCCCAGCTTGGTGTCCTTGGGAGTGTAGGAGATAAAGAAACTATAGAAAAAGTGAAAAAAGGGCGGTTTCAATGGTTTCAGGACTCACTGGCTCATCGTGCAGTGAAAACTAATAGAACTCAATTTACAATCCCTTGAAAATCGAAGACTCCGCTATGATTTAATTGAAACCTATAAAATTATTCATGGTGTTAATAATGTTAATAAATGTACTTGGTTTTCAATGTTAGCAGATACATCCAATAGGATTACAAGAATGTCAGAAAATCCCCTTTCACTTAGTGCAAAATTTTGTAGAACCGATATTCGTAAACATTTTTTAGTCAAAGAGTTGTTTCTCCATGGAATGATTTACCCTGTGATATAAAAACTTCACCAATGTTAAATACTTTTAAATCCAGATATGACAAATATGTAAAAAAATTTTAATCTAGTTTATTTTGTTGGGACAAAAAGAGCCGAAAAAAGATTACTTTAAAAGAAAACAGAAAGGCAAAATAAGAAAAAAAAATTTAAGAAAAAAATTTAAAAAAAACATGTCAAAAAATAAAAAAATAAAAACTCTACCAAAAGAAAAAAATAAATGTCCCTTATTTTTAATCTTGATTCACTGGATATTCGTAATTATTGAATATATTATACTATGTATATTAATGAGATATATGCAACCATATGAATATCATGACAACAATCGGAAATTTTCTTATATACTCCGCCAGGAGTCCTGAAAATAATCCTAACATAAACATTGGAGAACAATGTACGAATATCCAAAGAGAGAGAAAAAGAGTGTATTAAGGACTAAAATTAAAAGTTTCCAAAGTAGATATTCGGATTAAGTAGTTGGAATTAAAGGTTATCCATTCTAAAGTACCCAGCTCAGGTGATACTATTTTAGAACTGGACGTCAACTGACACTGTTTGCACCAGTGCTTAGGGTCTTCTTGATTTTGATGCGGATGCGGATCCGGATCATGGATCCACCCTTGAAAAAAATGGATCCGGATCCAAAGCCGGATCCAGGCTATAAACATTTTTTCAAGATTTACCAATTTCTTAACATATAAAAAAACATGGTTTTTTTCTCTTATTTTCTTGCTAAAATCTTTGTTAATTTAGTATTAGTTAACAACTTTTAATTTGTGTTGGGAGAGCAACATTTTTGGTGTAGGTTGATATTTTGCCTCGTCCTTACGAGAATGAGATCTGCAAGAAGTCCCATTTTATGCAACCCAGACCGCCTACAGTAGTATCCGACCCTACAGGTAAGTTAAATCCTATACCAACCCGGCCATATGTTCCTAGGAGAGGTACAACCTGGAGGCTTGGCGAAATCAAAGTCACCATGCGTACCTTACAAATGCCTATCTTTAACTTGGATCCGGATCCGTGGATCCTCATATTTTTGCGGATCCGGATACAGGAAGCCAAAATATTGCAGATCCTAAGCAATGGTTACCACGGTCAAGACTCTTAGGTTCTTTTCAACTGAACATTTGATTTATCACAACAATTAAGAGAAACCAACTCCATGCAATCATATATAAAAGTTAGGGGAAAATTATTTTGTAGGGGTGGGGGGGTTAAGAAACTACATACTCGGCAGTATATCATATGGATAAAAGAACTGTACCTTGTGTTAAGCTTGAAGCTTCTCCCGTAGAAAACGTTTAGAAGAACAAACGTTGCGTTAGGAACGTTTGACGCTATTGCGAGGTAACTAGTAAAATCTTTCTGCAGCTGTGTGTGAGTACTGTTTCCACTTATATCTCGGAACTATTCAAAAAGAAAACATTCTTTATTGATAAAAAATATTTCATTTTAATTGTTTTTTTTTGTCAGCTCGCTAAAACCAGTTTTACGATGATCTGTCGTTAACCAAGTATGATGATGTGTGCCTTAAAACAACCATGATAATATCCCCAGTTGACCAAGTATGATGATATGTCCCTTTAAACAACCATGATAATATCCCCCGTTAACAAAGTATGATGATCTGTCCCTTTAAACAACCGTGATGATATCTCCCGTTAACCAAATATGATGATACCTTTAAACAACTCTCATTAACAAAGTATGATGATATGTCCCTTCAAACCAAACATGATGATATCCCCCGTTAACAAAGTATGATGATATGTCCATTTAAACAACCGCGATGATATCTCCGGTTAACCAAGTATGATGATATGTCCCTTTAAACAACTATGATGATATCCCTCATTAACCAAGTATGATGATATGTCCCTTTAAACAACCGTAATTATATCCCCCGTTAACCAAGTATGATGATCTGTCCCTTTAAACAACCGTGATGATATCCCCCGATAACCAAGTATGATGATATGTCCCTTTAAACAGCTTTCATTAATCAAGTATTATGATCTGTCCCTTTAAACAACCGTGATGATATCTCCCGTTAACCAAGTATGATGATATGTCCCTTTAAACAACCGTGATGATATCTCCGGTTAACCAAGTATGATGAATGATGATATGTCCCTTTAAACAGCTATGATGATATCCCCCGTAAACCAAATATGATGATATGTCCCTTTAACAACCGTGATGATATCCCCCGTTAACCAAGTATGATGATATGTCCCTTTAAACAACCGTGATGATATCTCCCGTTAACCAAATATGATGATATGTCCCTTTAAACAACCGTGATGATATCCCCCGTTAACAAAGTATGATGATCTGTCCCTTTAAACAACCATGATGATATCTTCCGTTAACCAAATATTATGATTCCTTTAAATAACTTTAATAATCTGTCCCATTAAAATACCTTAAAATTCCAATAATCATTGACTGCAATAAAAAAGTTCCAAGGAAGGAGAGTACACATACCCAACATATAGAATACTAACCAAACTATTCTAAAAATATAAAAATATTATTTCATATTTTTATTGAAATAATTCACAAAAATATTAAAAGATATAAATTTTGTTTTCTTTACTTTTCTTTTTTAACAAAATAAGAACACTATCATCAAGTCTTAAAATAATGATTTGTAAACTTTAATTTAAAATACATTTATTTTAGTAATTAACAAACTCATAAAAATCAACTAAAAGAAAAGAAGTGGAAAAATTAGTAAAAAATTAGGTGGAAAATTTAGAAAAAAATGAGGCGGAAAAATTAGTAAAAAATGAGGTGGAAAAATTAGAAAAAAATGAGGCGGAAAAATTAGAAAAACCTGTAATTATCACTGGGCGTTCTCTTTTCTTGGTCTAGAGGAGGTCCGAACAGAGGGCTACGCTCGCTATATTCGAAAGAAATAATAAAATATTTCTAAAATTTCAACATTTATATTCAACACTTTTGCAAAGCATTTTTCTCAAATATAAGATTCGCAAGAGGAAACTACAGGGTGTCCCACGAAACATGACAACTAAAAGAGAGGACTTGAAAGTCGTCTTTGAACTTTGAATTTATTTGTTACATTCAGTCGTCAACATACTTTCACATGTATACATACTTGATACATGATTTTTTGAAACATAAACCACAATTTTCTCCTAGTCCTGGCATTTCCAAAATGTTGTCGTAAATATTACCGATTTTAAGATTTTCCTTCAGATTTCAATTTGATTAAAGTTAAACCAAAATCGTCGAAATCTGAACGAAATTCTTAATATCTCTGGTAATATTAAAAGCACAAAAAAGGTAAGAACACATTTTGGAAATGCCAAGACTAAGAGTATTTGGTTAATTATTAACTCTAGAATTTTACTTGAAAATTAGGTCATGTTACATGGAACACCCTGTATCTCACGTGAAAAAGTTACTATACAAAAAAATGCTTTTGTTTTTAACCTATTTAAGAGGGCTTGATTGATACGTTTTATAGGTGGCATTAAAACTAAAAAACAATCTTAGAACTTTTTCACAATATAATTAAGGACGTTAAGAACGGATTGCTACTTTTAGATAAAATCTTAAACTAAAAAATCAGCTAATATACTTTTCAAGTTACAATCATTGATTAGTTGTGTGTAAATAATGTAATAAATTGTTCTATGTCCTCAGTACCTGTATTCATCGGATATCCAGGTAGAAGATGGATCTGGATCAAAATCTCGATCCTAATCAACAGAATTTACTCAAATGACTTTCTAACCTGGATTCCTATGAACTGACAGGGATATATATATTTGGTTGAACAGCCCCCCTCTCTATCGTTAAAAATAATTTACCCAGATGGTATTTCAGGATTAGAATGAGAGTAACTTGACACTGTGTGAGTAGTGTGTACTGTGTAACTGATTTTAATGGAAAATAAACGATTTCTGGTTATAAAATTTCAGAAATGGGGAAAATATGTTTTTGGTGTTCAATTTTTCTTAAAATCCACCCCCCCCCAAAAAAAAAAAATTAATAAACATTCGGATAAAATTAAGCAAAAAGCTGTCATAACAGGATACTGGGAATAAAGCAGATGCAGGAATAAGAAATATTTTTGAAAATTTTTTCTCCAACAAGACACATCCAAATTATAATCCCTCCCCCCACCCTAAAATAGCCCATCTGCTTTAATATTAAGATACAATCTATAATTTATTAATGAAAATGTTCAATGCCCTCCAAAAATGAATGTTTTTATGTCACGTATCAATACTTGTCAGAAATAAGAATATTTTCCTTCGATATTTTCGAAAGTTTGATGAATTTTCATATTTCTAAAAACTAAAACCAACTCAAACCTACCGACATTTTAGAGATATTTTTCATTTAAACAATTCTGTTTATTTGCCTGAGGAAAAGAAAGTTGAGGCTGTGAATAAGGCCGAGTAAGGCTTCCATGTTGGGCGGAGCCTCCTATTCTGGCGGAGTCTGCAGGTCGGGCGGAGCCTACATCCGGCGCATCGTCTCCTTCACCACTTTTGAGACCACGGAACTCCGCCGGCATTTTGCTTAGAACTTTGAGCTCTAAATCTCTGTAAGTATTAGAAAATAACTGGATGGACCGAATGATAGATTGATTCTGAAAAAAACATCTAACTCTCGATCTTATTATTAATTTCAAAAAATCACTATATAAGGAATGATCGAATTTAAAGTATTGTTTGTACATTAGGATAGAGCATAAGTGTTTTTTTTCATTGAAATAAAATTTACGCCTTTCTGAAGTAGATTTCTATTACACACCAAACAGGAATTTCATTGTTTGAAGTTACTAAACCGGAATAAAATTCTCTTTTTTGTCTATGAGCAATGTTTCTTAAAAAGTCTATTTTTTTCTTTCAATCATACATCAATTTTTTTATCTGCCTTCAGTGGTTTATAACTTAAAAATAGCTGGGAAAAAATTAGAAATGGGACTATTACTCCAGAATCCATTCAATAATTAAAAAAATTCTTCTAGGCCCTTTCTAATAAAGTAGACGTGAGGTAATTTATTCTATATTATGTACCTTGTAAAATCTAAGTGATAGGTTGAATACGTCATTTTTAACTCGAGGTAAAAGCATAACTGAGACAGATTTGTAAATTACATTTCTTAAAATGGAATTTATTGTGATGAATTCCAAGATGTGTAAGTTGTTCATTGTTATTTAAAGATTAGGTAGTAATTTTTTTGGGGATTCAGTCCAACAATTTAAATTAGATTTTTTTGTGATTTAAAGAAAGGAAAGTAGCTTATTTATATGCATTAGGCAGATCTAGATTTAAATGGAACTTATTATAAATCAGTCTAAAATTCTTAATTATCCCCTGAATTCAGTTCTAGATTTAATAGGAATTTATTAGGATTCAGTTCTAGATTTAATAGGAATTAATTAGTATTCAGTTCTAGATTTAATAAGAATTAATTAGGATTCAGTTCTAGATTTAATAGGAAATTATTTGGATTCAGTTCTAGATTTAATAGGAATTTATTTGGATTCAGTTCCAGATTTAAGTTTAATAGGAATTTATTTGGATTCAGTTCTAGATTTAAGTTTGATAGGAATTTATTTGGATTAAGTTCTAGATTTAAGTTTATAAGGAATTTATTTGGATTCAGTTCTAGATTTTATTGGAATTTATTTGGATTTAGTTCTAGATTTTATAGAAATTTATTGTGAATCAGTCAAAATTTGGAAGGAATTTATTACTAAATACGATTAACGAACTTAAATAGAAATGTTTCGAAGTATTCTAACCGACGGGTTTCAAAGTGAATTCACAAAACTACACAGTTTAACATTATCATCACTCAGTGAATTTATAAAAATCGTCTTTTGACCACATAGCCAAGTAACTTATAAACCATTCTTCGTTTCAGTGTTTTTATTAATACAGCGTCCATCTCCTGCAGTTAATCCTTGACTGGGATTAAAAGCCAGGCAAATTTTATTTGAACTGATCTTGTTGTAGTTTATCTTGGGACGTATTCTCGTGTTCACATACTTTTTAGTGAATTAGGATACGGAGAGTGGGAAACTGCATGGAAAACTTGACTAATTAAACAGAGTGCATGGGGAACCAAGGAAACGCGGAAACACACACAGTGTTGGGATCTTGATTGTTTGGCCCGGTTCTAAATACTTGATTATACCGGTTCATAATATTTGGTCCTGTTCTATCCAGAACACTCGTCCGCATGATCATCCCAGTCCTCCACCTGAAGAAAATACGTTTAAAAGTTTCGCACTGTGTACAGTTTACAATGAACAATGTATCAATTACTCACGCACTCGGGTTAATCATTTAATCCATTGGGGGTTAAAATTTCCATTGGTATTAATAGTAGCTTTCTTTATTTAAGAAATAAACGATTTAAAGCTTACACACACAAAAAAATATTTTCTAAAAATATCTTTAATCCCAGCCCATTGTTAAAAAAAATAAGCAGCTATTTTATTTTATGAATTAAAAAAATTGCTTGATTCGCAGGTCTTAACACAAAAAGAAATATTTCCTTGCTTATATAATTTTTTATTTTTCTACCTGGCATTCTCTGCTACAGTACCATCTATTGGAACACCCTGCACACACAAATTCACTTTTCTTATTCTTACAACCCTGGGGTATACGAGTTAAGAACAATCTTCTTAAAATCATTGCTCAGATCCGGAACATTTAAGCTACCTCAATCGAGATCCGGAACATTTAAGCTCGAGGAATCCGGAACCTTTAAGCTTCTTTGCTCGAAGGGGAGAAAGGCCAACCACAACAATTTCTCGTCCGAGCCACATTCTCTTCATTTTCTCGTCCGATCCACCTCGAAATCCTCGTCCTTCAATATTATTCTTTTAAAGTGTCTAATCCTCCTAGATAAAACTATTTTGAAAGAATCAGGCCACGTTAGGGCATAAATGATAAATTGAATTTTTGTAAATGGGAAAAAAAAATTCAATTGAATTAAATTTTTCTCGTTTAATGTCTTTAAAAATGTTCACCTTTTTAATGCACATTTTCAATTATTCCTAGTGTAGAATGCCGCAAATAATTCAGAGAACTTCAATCTTTTTTGTTAATTATAGTGAAAACCATAGAATTTTTCCTGGTGATTCCATAGGAAAATGATATGCAGAGTTAGGCGAAGTATTTTTCTATTTTTTTATATCACGAAGGTTTTATGCCCTAACGTGGTCAGATTTTTAAAATATAGTTTTATCTTCGAGAATTGAAGATTTTTAAGCACATAATAATCGAAGGACGAGGATTCCGAGGTGGCTCATACGAGAAAATGAGGAGAACGTGGCTCGGACGAGAAGGTGTATACCTTCCTCCCCTCCTTGATCCAATCCGGTTTCTAGAGGATTTAGCTCCATGGATCCAGATCCAAAAATAAGTGAATCCATAGATTCCAAGTGACAAAAAGGCAAAAAAGCAACCAAAGCTAAGAACACAATATGATTCCAACCCACTTAAAACCTTATTAGTCTCTAAAATGGTAATTAATATACGTTATAAGACAAGTTTCAATGTCAAATTCAGTTGTTTAAAGAACGGTTCAGCGTCAAGATGGAATGGATCCTAATAATTTAAAATAGATAATATTGTACAGAAAATAATGTAAATAAACAAAGGAAGACATTAAGCGAATGTTTTGCTAAAATCATTTGACTACTCAGTATCGTAAAATATCAAGTTAATAACATTAACATAGCCAAAATCCTTCTCATCCTTTTATAAAATTTAATTAATTGATGAAAAATAAATTCAATTCAGATTGTGACAAGGTTCATTAATTGTATTCCTGACAAATCGGGGTTTTAGGTTTCTCCTGTCCTTCTCCTTTCTCCAGATTCTCAGTAGCTAAACAAATCGATCATTCAATTAATCAATTAATCAATTAATCAAATAATCAATTGATCAATTAATCATCTGAACCTCAGGTTTAGAAAACGAGGAGATATCATGACACCTTAAAATGTCAATAAATTTTTTTTATGTTTAACTGTTGAATGTGTGTTTACATTCACATGTTTATTTACATTTATATGTCTGTTTACATTTTCATGTTTGTTTACATTTTCAGGTTTGTTTAAATTTACATTGTTTACATTTACATGTTTGTTTGCATTTTCATGTTTGTTCACATTTGCATGGTTGTTTACATTTATTTGTTTGTTAATATTTTCATGTTTGTTTAAACATGTTTGTTTACATTTTCAAGTTTGTGTACAATCTAAATGTTTATTTACCTTTTTGTAGAGCTGTGTTAATCTTTTCCTCTGATATATCTCCTAGACTGTTTGCGCTCTGCGCACTTTGGTTTGAGCTCGTCCGTACTTTTGCAGCAACGGTTGTGGCTGGGTTGGTTATAACTATCTGACGCTTAGGCAGCACAAGGGATCTGTATAAAAAATGTGTTAACGAAAAAAAGGCTAACCCTGGTATTTCTATTTGTCTAAATATTTGATGAACATTTTCTAAAGAAATAAACTTCAGGGACAAATGAGTTGTAATGATCGTACAGAGTATATAAATTAAAACAAACGCCTGAGATGATAAAACGGGAATAAAACTGTTATTACGTTAAGCTGGTTCTCTAGGTTATTTAGATATACTTGATATTGAGATTATTATTTAATAGAATGGTGCTGTACCTGTTACCACGGCCACTTCTTTTACTCGATCCTCAACTTCCTCAGACATCACCTCCCTTCGACCTCGATCCTCAACTTCCCCAGACATCACCTCCCTTCGACCTAGATCCTCACCTTCTTCCGACATCACATTCCTAATTTGAACTAATTCCTATAACATCACCTCCATTCGACCGCAGTCCTCGCTTACATTGACCTCGAAACTCAACTTCCTCAGACATCACCTCCATTCGACCTTGCCACCCCCTACAATACCTTGAAAGAACATGATCCGCATCTACTCTGATAAGAGTTTTTGTTCTCTGAGCCTGTATCAGCTTCTCTTCCTTCTGCTTCAGTAATCTGATGACCTAACGTACGATACATAACAAATTATGGTATTTTGGAAAATTTTAAACAAACCTAGCAGAAGTACATGAAAAATTCTGTTACCATAAATTTATCTAAATAACTTAAATAAATTATAAATTTATCGAAGGTTAGTAAGATAATCAATAGATATGAGGTTAATAAGATTATCATTTGTTTTGGTTTAGGTAAGATGATTAATTGATCTAATGTTAGTAAGATGTTTGATTAATTTAATGTTTGAGATCGATTGATCTGGTGTGAGATGACAGATTGATCTGGTGTTAGATGACAAATTGATCTTGTGTTAAATGATTGATTGATTGATATGGTGTTAGATGACTAATTGAGCTGGTGTTAAATGATTGATTGATCTGTTGCTAGATGATTGATTAGATTTCATACCTGGTCCCATTCCTGTTCCTTCCTTCTGGCCAACCAGTGTAAAGCTCTAAATATGAAAAAAAATATTCTAAGTAATTATTGTAATATATTAAACACAGATTTTTTTTTTATTGCAAAACAAAATTTTAAGTTAAGTTTTTATTAATAACTCTAAAGACACTCAGAGGAATGTATTATAAAGTTAGTGTTCGTTTTGTGAACTAATAAAATAAATAAGATTTAATGCATATTCATGTAATTTTGTTTTATTACAACATTGGAATCAACTTTTTAATTTTGTTGGGCATCTTGATATTTTCATATTTTTATTTTTTTCTTTGATTGCTTTTGCCGTTGTAGTCTTTCTTATGTCATTTAATTGCTTTGTTCTTTTTTCTTGTTCCTCCTTTACTTTTGTTAATATTTCTGGTGTAAAGTCCCAATTGTCTGTTTAATAAAATGACATTGCTTAACTTTTTAAAGAATTGTATATACAATAATGCTGCTCTTCACAAGATTAGGGATTGGTACATGTTTACAAGATCAGGGATTGGTACATGTTTACAAGATCAGGGATTGGTACATGTTTACAAGATCAGGGATTGGTACATGTTTACAAGATCAGGGATTGGTACATGTTTACAAGATCAGGGATTGGTACATGTTTACAAGAT